GCTTGAAAGGCAGGCAGCAGAACCACTGGGCCTATTTCCCCGACCCTATTTCTGCATTTTGTGATGTTTGTAATATTTGACAGCTTTTTAAAGCATATAAGCTTCACAAATCACAGTTCTCCCTCTGTTCAGGATAATATCACTCTGTATGTTGTCAATAAACCTTTGGACATGGGGGGAAGAAAGAGAACTGCACCTTCAGGACAGAGTGGCCTCAGGTTACAATGTCCTTTTTCCTCCAGGAAACTCCAAACAAAGTACATTAAACCAGTAAATAGGGCCCATTCTTGTCCCCTGTAAAGTGAGCCTGGGTTTTCCCTTCCACAGACTTCTATTTTCAAGAAAGTAAAACAGGGCAACACCTCGCTAAACTTGAAACCCATAGAAATGGCCTGCATTCTGATGGGTACCAAATGGGTACTGCAACAGGCAGTAGGAACACGCAGCCTGGATCACCAGTCTTGAGGACACCCCCACGGCCACATAAACACCCACCCACAGAGCATACGCTTGTCTCAAGGGCCTCCACTCTGTTCCGAGTGTAGACTTCTTTAACTCTGCCTGCCTCTCACTGACGCATCCTGGGGCTCTGTGACGTAAGTCAGCGAATCTATACTCTCCCCATGGGTGGTGTGAGTTGGAGCCCTGACGCTTGCTTGGAGGATTTCCTCTGACTATCCAGTGACAGGAGTCACACAATCCCATGGGTTTTGCCTCTCAGCTCCCTCTGTGGTGCTCTGGCTGGGCCTGGTGTCTGCTGTCTCTGCTAGCCTGGCAGAGGAAACAGTGCCATTGTTCCAGCTGCAGACACAAGTGGCCCCTGCTGGTCACCCCTTGCAAACTGCCCCTCTGCTGGAGCCCCCTGAGATGGCCTTTATCTGGGCACCATCAATTTCCTTCTGGGACCTGGGCCCGTGTACGTCCAAAAGACACAGAGCAGAGGGATCACACGAGCCACGTTCCAGAGACTAACTGAGCAACAGGACCCCAGGAGGAGCCAGGGCGCTTGAGTCCAGATGAAGAGCTGCAGAAGTGCAATTCCTGGACCCACAGGCTGTGGCTGGGGCCTGCTCGTTCATGTGTGTGTTCCTGTCCTTCCTGTCGTTCGCTTCTCCAAAGGCGACTGGGGACTGTGAGAGGTGAGGCCGTCAGTGTCTGTGTCCGCCAGCCCTGAGGCCCTTAATCTGATCAGAGCACAAAACTCCCCGGATGCCCTGTCACTTCTCCGCTGCTGCTCCCTGGACTGCCACTGTTTCTCCAGAGATGATGAGATGACCATGTGACCATGGGATACCCCATTCTTGGGTAAAATAGTTATGGGGTGTCTGACCTCCACTGGCCCTCTCAGGCTCTGAGCTTTCAGTGAACCAGTGCTGGCCTCAGGTTGAAGCCATCTGAAGGCTTTTAAAATGCTGGTGTCTCCCCCAGCCCCGAGTGTGACCATCTGGGCGTTGGTGTTTATTTCGGGTAATTCTACTGCCCCGCCAGGTTGGGAAGCCTGGTTGGAGACCCCGAGCACCTTCCATGTACCCATCATCTGGGACCACAGGCTGCAGGTGACAGACACAACAGAAGACATCAACTCCATGCTGCCCAGGCCAGCTGCACCCGGGGCTCATCCTGCAGCCTCCCTCCAGGCCTTGGCCCTTGGGCATGCCCAGCCCAGGACAGTTCTCCCTCAGCTCTGAGCTGTGCCCACTGGGTTCACAGCACCTCCCTGAAACCACTGTGTGGCCAGGGAGCCTGCAAGGCTGGGGCCACACCGGGGACCTAGGGCCTCTGACGCCCACAGCCTGGAGTCAGAGACAGTGCTCCTGGGGAGAAATCGAGGCCCTAGCTCTGTGTAAGGGGGGGGGGGGGGGGGAGCTGGGCAGAGCCACGACATCCCCGCCCCACTGCAGGGGGACATTAGGACAACAACAGTTGTTGAATGTGGGTGGCATAGTCGGGGTGACAAGCACAGGCTGGGGCAGACACAGCGTGGGGGTCCAGCCTGCTCACTTGCAGCTCTCTGCCTGGGCAGAGTCTTCTGGAGCTCCGGCCTCTTAGCCCCTAGCCAGGGTCAGTGCCATGCAGCCTCATGGGCCATGGCTCAGTCAGAGATCAGCAGGACAAGAGCTCTGACCCAAGAGCTCAGGCCCAGGCCCAGGAACGGGGTGGGGTGCTTATCCATGTCATCAGCCACACTCCCAAGATGTAGGCACGGGCCCGGGACCTCTGCCCATCTGCCCCCGGCCCTGCCTCCCCTCTGTCCCCACACCATCAGTCCAGGCTGGAGGTGTATCTGCTCCAGCTGCTGCCACTGCATACCCAGCTGAGTGGAGCATTAGGGTCAGCAGCCAACCCCAGAGAAAGCCTTGGTCATGTGGTTTCTGGGAAGTGAAACTAGACTTTTCAAGGCATTTCCGGGGATCTGTCTGAACACATCACACAGGGAAGGTTTTCTGGGCCCTCTGCAGAGGGTCTCTCCACACAGAGCTCCTGCAGCGGCCGGAGGGAGGCTCCAGGACGCCTTCAGTAGCTGCCTTGGGCAGGTAAGCTCCCGGCTCTTGCTCTTGGTTGGACACACCTCTCTTCACAGCACGATCAAGGGGCACCCCACTTCCCTCTTTGCACCCAGGCTGGGAGGTGGGGAGCCTGTGCTCTTGAGCCCAGGAACCATCTTTGTTGTTTCCAGACTTGCAGGGCCTCTGCGTATAGTGGGGCAGGTTGTTGACTACACAAAGACACCAGCCAAAAGGGCAAGCAGTTTAAAATCCAGCCATCTCTTAGGTCTGTATACCCAGGCCAGGTTCTGCACCCACCTGAAAGAAGAGTCCCTTCTCTAAACTTGCACAAAGGCCCAGCACAGGGAGTTTTGTCCCAGCTTCCCACACAAGGGCAGAAATGGACGGTCACTGCCACCAAGAGGGCAGCAAGGTCCACACAGCAAGTGCCCGTTCGGCTACTGGTCACTGTGACTCCACCAGGGGGAGAGGGTGACGGACCATGCTGGTTTTCCAGGGACCAGGGCTTTGCCAGGGCGTAGCACTCCCGGCACAGGCAGAGACCGGAGTGTGACTGGAGCTGGCTGGTGTCTCTGGGCTTCAGCTCGCTCAGCCAAGCGCTTATTTCTCCAGGGCCACAGCAAGACCTAGGTGAGCTGTCCTGCAGGGCCCATGCAAGTGGGAGACCCCTGGGGGTCTTGTTAATGCAGATTCCAAGCAGAGGGGCTGGGGCAGCCTCCCTCGTGCACTTCCTACTACCCCTGAGGGTGCTGCTGCCCCACCTCTGGGCAGCAAGGGGCGGGAGCCAGCCTCAGGGTCACCAGGCCTGGGCCTGTAGCCAGAGTCACAGAAGTGCTGCCCAGTGCCCAGTCCCCTGCTTGCTTCCAGAGCCGGAGACACAACACCTCCCCACTGGCTCTCCCCTGGCTCCTTCCTGGCTCCCTCTGGCTCCCTGACACCCCCTCCTCACTGGCTCCTCTCCCACTCCCTTCGGGTCCCCCACCATGCTTCTCCCTGGCTCCTCCACTGGCTGTCCCTACACAGGACCCAAGAAGGGGTAGGGAGGTGGTCGTTCACTGCAGAGGGAGACAGAAAGTAAGCATCCAGAGTTATACAGAGGAGAGGACCTCAGGCCAAAAGCCAAGACCTGAGTCCTCTCCCTGCCCAGGTGGCCCTGTGGCCTTTATGTCCTGGGTCACAGCCATGGCCACCTCCCCACCCAGCTGCACAGAGACCTGAGCTTCCACCGGGACCCCTTCTGTCCACCTTCCCCCACCACAGGCCACTGAAGCCGAAGTCTCCCTGTGGTCTGTTGCTCTGCTTTCCATGGCCTCCTCCTGCTGGGCCCCATGCTCTGCATTGCCCCTCCATCCCACTCTCCAAACCCCTGGCTCATCTCAGCTGCAGACCTCTGGGGTCTGGCACACCCTCGGGGTCTGTGGCCTGAAGATAAGGCCCAGACCTCAGTCAGGCTCACACCCTCCTCATACCCACTCCAACCCCAGACAGCCTTGCCTTTGTCCCTGGAGGCACCGCGGCACACCTGCTGCATCTGGCCAGAGCTCGGTCACCCTTCAGGGACCAGCACTCGGACAAACAAATTGGAGCAGCTTAGTCCTGGAGCCCATGCATTCCTGGATCTCATGCCATCCTCCTTCCTTCTGCCACAGGGTCATGCTTGCAGCCAAGACCATGGCTGTCCTGTGGCTCCTCTGGCTGTGGCTGCTGGTCCCAGGGACTCAAGGTGAGTAGCACCTCTGGGAAATCCCCCAAGAAAAACCTGAGAGCCTGCTGTGCCCCACTGTGTGGGGTAACCCCTACTTGTAGGTCACAGAGGTGTCCTGCCTGGCACCTGAATCCAGGGACTCCTGTGTGGAGGTCCAGTCACCCCAAGTGAAGGTGGTTTGTAGATCTGAGGGAACCGGGGCTCCGGGGCTCAGGTGAGATGCAGGCGATGGGAAAGATACCAAGGAATCCCCCCTTCTACCCATGGGTCCAGGAGCCCAGCGGGGCACAGGACAAACCAGCCAGACACTGGGGTTACCATGAGGTCCCCAGCCCTAGGACATGGGTCAGACTTCCAAGAGTTTGGGCCTTTCCTCCGTGGCCTGTGGAAGCCCTGTCCTTGTCCTGCTGGCTTCTCAGGGAGGCCTGCCACACCCTCATGGTACATCTCCCTTCAGCACTGACAACCCCTAAATCCAGGCTCTCAGCTCCTGCCCGACCCAGCAGTCAGGGGCCAGGGGTCTTTGAGGACTAATTCCAGAAGAGCAAGGGTGAGCAGCAATCCCATTTCCCTCCATGCTTGAAGCACAAACAGGCCCTGGCTTAAAACTTTTTCACTTTACAAAGTGCAAAAACTGTCGAATTTAATAGAAACCGCACTTGGCGTTTGAATTTCAATCTTCCCGGGTGGGTGGTCTGTGGCCTCCACTTGTTCGCCTATGGTACTGCAAGGGCAGCAATTTGCAGCTCCAGTCAGCTGCGGCCTGGGGGACCCCACACACCCGACACTCTGTGCAAGCCAGGCTGTCCCTGAGCTGGGGTGGATTACACGCATCTCCCACATCTTCAGCTTTCAATTCTCGATGGCTTTATTGGGCCATACACCACCTGAAGGTGAGGGGCATCTGTACTCTGACTGTGTGTCCAGGGGTCCCTGGGCCTGCTGACCCCAGTGCCAGCACCCTGGAGCCACAGACCCTCACAGGTGGGGCGCTCTCGGGCCTCCTTCCCTCTGTTCTTCCTGGGGGGCCTCTGCCTTCACCCTGAGGTGCTGGGGCTGCTTTCCTGTGGAGCAAAGGCCTGGGACCTCGTGGACAAGGAATGACGACTCGGTCTCTGCGGGGTCCTACAGATCTTTCCCTCTTAGTGGACAGCCCTTCAGGGACAGAAAGGGGGTTTTGAAGCGGTGCACTTTGAACCCCAGCTGGTTTCCAGGTGTTGGGACGTTGCTGCTACCTGCCGGCTGACCTTGGCTTTCCCGCAGGTGCACAAGATGGGGACATGCGGCTGGTCAATGGGACCACAGCCAACGAGGGCCGCGTGGAGATCTTCTACGGAGGCCAGTGGGGGACAGTGTGTGACAACCTCTGGAACCTGGTCGATGCCACTGTCGTCTGCCGCGCCCTGGGCTTCCAGAATGCCACGGAGGCGCTGGGCGGAGCTGCCTTTGGGTCAGGTGGGGCTGCTACCCTTTCCCCAAGGCTGGGGCCACTGAGAAGTCCCCCAAGACCAGAGTTGGGCTTCACAGATGTGCAGCTTATGGCCCTGCTTTCTATCCACTGGCACCTGTTGGGATGGCCCATTTGAGCTTGGCCTGAGGGCCCTGGGGCTCAGTGGTGGTGGTGAGCTAGCCTCGTGGATTATGGGGGACTAATTTGGTGTCTCTGAAGCAGCCATTAAGCCTTGTAAGAATGAGGCTAAGTGTCTGGTACCGCAGTGCAGAGACGAATCTGAGCTGATGCCCGAGTGTTGCCCAGGGTCACAGGGAACGGGAAGCCACAGAGGTGGCAGCCAGCGTCCCCGTGGCCGGGGGGTGAATGGCCATTCCTCCAGTGCCCGGAGAGGAGCCGCTCTGTTGGCCTCTTCCCGCTGAGGCCCAGCCTCTGTCCTTCCTGTGCCCACAGGAACTGGCCCTGTCATGCTGGATGAGGTACAGTGCACGGGGACAGAGCCCTCACTGGCCAGCTGCAGGTCCCTGGGCTGGCTGAAGAGCAACTGCAGGCACGACAAGGACGCGGGCGTGGTCTGCGCCAATGGTGAGCAGGCGGGCGGCTCCTCCCTCGTCTCTGTCCCCCCACCACACGAGCACACATCGGTGCAGACAGAGGTTGGGTGACACCCTCACTTGCTCCACGCAGGGTAGGGTGGGGCAAGAGGTCCACAGAACCTGCCCCCCCCCCAGGAATCCAGAGCCCTCGTCTACCCCACTGCCACAGGACCTGCCCAAAGCAAGGGGCTGCATGCTGGGCGGGGCTCTGCTCCTGAGAAGGCCAAGAGCACTTCACCCTCACTCCGGCAGCCCGGCAGCCCTCCTGCAAGGCCGCTGTGGGGCGCTCGAGTGCTTCCAGATGACTGACAGTGCCGAAGACCTCCAGCCCTGCCCAATCCCGACCCCATCCTGTGCTCCCAGCAGCCCAAGGCGGAGCCCCACTGGAGTTCTCTAGTCATTCTTGCCTCCCTCACTTCCTCCTGGGCTGGCACACGGACAGTGGGGCGCTCTAGCCCACCTCCCTCGGCCCCCAGCTGGAGACCCTGAAGCCTGGGGGCGGGGGTGGAATTTCCCAAGGCTGGACAGCTGTATGCTGGCTGGGGAGCGGGGTTCAGGGTTAGGAGGGGCAGGGGGAACGTAGCTGGGTTAGCCCTAGGGGAGCTGGTATGGGCCAGGGAGGGGCTGGCGACATGAGTTGGGAGGGTCCTGGGGGTCAGTGGGGAGGAACGGGGCCGACCCACCAGGGTTAAATGTCAAGACCAATTCAGGCCCACCTGAACGAAGACCGGACCTGTGGTGTTTGGTTCCCACTAGGGTCTTCAGGGTGAGGAAAGAGGGGATACCCTGGGGCCTCGGGTAATGACTCCCCAGCCCTGACCCCCATGAGGCTGCTGGGGCTCCCCAGGCTCTAACGTGCGGTGTCATGGGCCCCTGACTCCTGGGCCTCCGCAGACAGTCTGCAGACGAGGGTTGGACTTAGAAGGGTGACCTTGCGATGACTGGTCGATTGAGCTTGGGGCCACCAAATCCCCACCTGGGGTGCTGCCTGTGCGGGGGGGTGGGGGGGCAGGGCAAAGGGCCAAATGTGGGCCTGGGGAGGGCAGAGGGGCCGCTTGTTCCTGCTCAGTGTTCCCAGTTGGCAGCTGCACCTCCTTCCAGGGCCCAGAGCAGGTCAGGCCTGTCCCTTCCGTCACCTTCCCAAGCCTTTTGGAGCAGGTCGGCAGGCGCTGGCACAGCCCTTCCCAAGGAAGAGACTGAGTCCCGTCCCGGGGGGCAGAGTGGGGCTCGGGTCCCAGAGCGAGGGAGCAGCGGCAGCACTGGGCCCTCACACACACATTCCCACCGCCCCCTACAGAGACCAGGCCCGAGCACACTCTCGACCTCTCCGGGGAGCTCTCCACCGCCCTCGGCCTGATCTTCGACAGCCAGCGGGGCTGCGACCTGTCCATCCAGGTGGTGGGGCAGGGCCAGGAGGTGCTGGGCTTCTGCGCCCACACGGTGATCCTGACCGCCAACCCGGAAGCGCAGGCCCTATGGGAGGAGCCGGGCAGCAGCATGGTCATGCGCGTGGACAGCGAGTGCATGTTCGTCGCCAGGGACTTTCTGAGGTGAGTCACTCGGGTCCCTGAGCTGCCCATGTGTCCTCCCTCCCTCCCCCGGCACAACAGCGCTGTTGTGAAAACACAAACACACTCCTGGTGTACACATGTGCTCACAAACACGGAAACGTTCTCTCACACACCCGTGTGTGCCACACACTCAACTTGTGTACACACATGCACTCGCACCCACGCTCATCTGCACGAGAGGATCACACATTTGAGCCCAGCAACTTAAGAGAGACCCTGTCTCAAAGTAAAAATTAAAAAGGGCTGGGGGTGTAGCTCAGTGCAAAGGCCCTAAGTTCAATCCCCAGTACCAAACAAACAGACAAATAAGTCTTCCGGACTCTCAGTTTGGAGCACCTGTGGATCTTGAGGCAGCGGGAGGCTGAACTGGTTTGTGTGGTGTCTGGGGAGGCTCAGGAGGCACAGCAGGAAGGGAATGCTGCGGGTGCGTGTGTGCACGTGTGTGCGTGTGTTGGGGTGTGTGCTAAGGGCAGGAGGGGCCTTCGTCTCTGGCTCTCCTCCCACCGAGGCTACAAGACTGGCAGCTGCCCAGCAGTGGGGCCCTGGCAGCAGACCTGGGACTTGGGCCACAGAGCACACCAAGCCCTCAGGAAGGCACAGACACTGATGCGACAGTTGGAGGATTCACACACACACACACACACACACACACACACACACACCCCGACCTGTCTACCTCAGGGATCTTAAGCGTGCAACGTGAGAGTCTTCTAAGTAGCCAAAATAATGATCACAGTCATGCTCCCCCGTCTGTCCTCCCTGTCCTTGCTTCTGTGGAAGGAGAAGTGTGACAGTCCACACATGTGGCTCGTGTCACCACTGGGGGCTCTGCCATGTCACTGATGAGGAAGGTGAGACCCAAGGCTCCCCTGCTGGCTTGAGGGACAGGGTTACAATCTCACCCCAAAGAGGCCTCCTGGGGACTTGTATTTTGAAAGCAGCATTTAAAAAAAAAAAACAACAAAGACCTGCATTGGGCCAGGGATTTGGCTCAGTGGTTTTGTCACCTGGTGCACAAGCGCAGGGACCCGAGTTCGATCCCCAGGACCAAAAGGAAAAAAAAAAAGACCTGCGTTTATTAAAAATGATTCTCTCATTCTTAAGACAAGACCCAAAGTTGGTTTTTTTTGTTTTTTTTTAAGATCCAAAGTTTTATACAACTGAAAATGACATTTAAGAGAGAACAGTATTGGCAATTAAAAACAGATTTCAATGGTTTCTTTCCGGCCTAGCATAAAAACTCTGTAAGGCAGCCTGTGCACCTCCTGGTGGGTCCGGTTTCTGAAACACACTGGAGATGGGGCAGGGCCCATTCCGCCTGCCTGGGCCCCACTGGAGCAGACACCCTGGGTCCGAGCTCAGCACCACCCCCGCCCTGGCTGTGACGCAGTCTTTCCACCTGTCATTGTGTCTCTGTCTCTCTCTCCCGGCCCACTCCCCCACGGTGGGCAGAGATGCTGCCTTGTTCAGAGTGCCTCCACGCCAGCTGCCACACTGGGGGTCCCAGCCATTAGCTGGCTCCCCCGCCAGCTGCTCTGGGCCTTGAGGGCCCCCAGTCCCACTGGCTTAGGGCCTTTTTCCTCCCTCTCAGTGTTTTCTTCTCTGAGAAAGACGGACAGGGCTAGGAGACTCATTCTGATTCCTGTTCCCCTGCCCATGGGGACACTGATACCGCCTGCTCAAGGCTGGGCCCCGCTCCTCCCTGGCACAGTGTAGCTGCCTGTGGCCCAGGAGCACTGCTCTGGCTGGGATGTGCATTAAACCTGGTGACAAACACTTCTGCAGTACCTCTTCCTCTTGTCACCACCATCTTCGGACGGTCAGCAGCAGGGAGGTCGGTTCCCCAAACACACAGTCCAGCACCCTTCTCTGGGGGCAGCCCAGCTTCAGAGTGGGTGTAGTGGATGTCAGGGGTGGTCACAGTTTAGGAGGAGACAGTCACCCTTCTCTCTCCCCAAGCCCACCGTGACACCGACTGCAGGGGTGCTGAGCTCTCTCAGGGACACCTGCGTGCAAGGGGGACGGTGAGGGACACCTCTGGGCCTGGCCCTCCCAGTGAGCTGGGGTTGCAGGGACAGCAGGCGTGAAGGGTCGGGCTGCCCAAATCCCACACCACAGGACAGGTGCTGGGCAGAGAAGAACCCAGCGGGGCATGACCGGTCTGGCCAGGGTGTGACTGCGGGATGGCAGGGCCAGTGCCCAGGCCCCAGCTGACAAAGCAGGAGAGATGGGGGTGGTAGGGACCCCTGCGTCACTGGTGAAGGAGGGAGTGGCAGTGGGGGTTATCCCTGCCTCATGGCCGACACCCTCCAGTTGCTTTTAGCCAATGTGAGATTCAGGATTCAGAATGTGGTTCCCCGGAGAGGCAGCAGCCCCAGGGCACAGCTGCTGCCCATCCTGCAGGGCAGGCACTAGTTCCCCTCTCTCCCCCAGGTACTTCTACTCCCGGAGGATCGAAGTCTCCCTGCTGTCCATCAAGTGCTTGCACAAGCTGGCATCTGCCTATGGGGCTGAGCAGCTGCAGGACTACTGTGCGCGGCTCTTCTCCACCCTGCTCCCCCAGGACCCCTCTTTCCGAACGACCCTGGACCTCTACGCCTATGCACAGGATACGGGTGACACCCTGCTGGAGGAGCGGTGTGTGCAGTTCCTGGCCTGGAACTTCGGGGCCTTGACACAGGCTGAGGCCTGGCCAAGTGTCCCCGCAGCCCTGCTCCAGGCCCTCCTCCTCAGGAGCAAGGTGGTCGTGCCCAGCGAGCTGGCCCTGCTGCAGGCTGTGGACAGCTGGATCAGGGAGCAGGGTGCCTCCCAGAGGGAGGCCGAGGTCCTGCTGGAGCAGGTGCGCTTCCCCATGATGCTGCCCGAGGAGCTCTTCCAGCTGCAGTTCAACCTGTCCCTGTACCTCGACCACAAGGCCCTGCTCCAGAGAAAGATCCTGCAGGCCCTGGAGTTCCACACGGTGCCCCTGTGGCTTCTGGCCCAGTACCAGGGCCTGAACCTCACCGAGGATGCCTACAAGCCCCGGATTTACACCTCGGCCACCTGGAGCGCCTTGGTGACAGCCAGTTCTGATTCCCAGAACTGGAGGTATCAGACCCGAGGTTATCAATACTATTATGAGAAAAGATTCTCTTCTGGCTACATGAACAGCCCATACAAGTCCTTCCAGACCCCACAGCACCCTAGCTTCCTCTTCAAGAAGAGGCTGGTCTCCTGGACTCTCTCCTACCTCCCCACCGTAGAGAGCTGCTGGAACCTTGGATTCTCCTGCTTCTCGGACGAGCTCCCAGCCTTAGGCCTCACCAGGTCTGGTTCCTCGGATCCCAGCATCGGCTACGAAAACACAGCCCTGATGCTCTGCGGACGGAGCATTGTGGTGGACGTCATGGGCTTCCAGGGCTCGAAGACCTCCATCCCCAGCGCCCTGGGCACCAACAGCTCTAGGAGCACTTCCACCTTTCCCTGTGCCTCAGGTTCCTTCAGCAGCTTCCGCGTGGCCATCCGCCCCTTCTACCTGACCAACACGACCAGCCTGGGCTAGGTGATGCCACCCAGATGCTAGGCCGTGGTGCTGGGGAAGTGGGGCACGGGCCAGGCACCCACACCAAGGCTCCCCTCCTTTGCCCCTTCCTCTCTGGAGCTACCTCCAACTTCCGGCCACCAGATGTCTCCCTGCTTCCACTGGCCTCTATGACCTTAAAAAAATTACCAGAAGGCCTTGACTAGCACTCACCACGGAACCTGAGATTTTCAGTACTCCAATGGGTGCTAAGGTCCCACAGGTGCTGAGGTCACAGTACTCTCTCTCACTGCCTGGCTGGCTTCCAGGTGGGGAGACAACTAGGTCACTGTAGGATTCCTAGGGCCCCTTGCAGATGCTCCATCCACTGCTTTCACGCCTCTGAGACCATTAAAACCACACTTCCATACTTCTGTCTGTTCATTCACGCAGGGAGGATTGCTGGGTTTGTACCATCCTGGACATCAGGTGTGCTGGGCTCTGGGAGACATAGGAAGAGGCAGAAACTTGTCGTCATGAAGCAGTGGCCAGTTGGGGAGACAGGTAGCAGCAAGTGAACATCCCAGCCTGGTGCCACTGCAAAGGGCTAGGGTACAAAGGGGACCACAGGGTGGGAGGTGCATACACAGGGTGCAGGCAGGCACAGGCAGACCCACCTCAGACTGGTGAGATCTCTGGAAAAAAATGACTATGAAGCCAGCTATGGTGGTGCACACCTGATCCCAGCATTTGGGAGCCTGTGGCAGGAAGATCCCAAATTCAAGGCCCACCCGGGCAACTTGGCAAGACCCTGTCTCAAAATAAAAAATAAAGGGGCCAGGGATTTAGGTCAGTGGCAGAGCGCCTGCCTGGAGAGTGAGTGCAAGGTCCTGAGTTCAATCCCCGATATTCCCCCCCGCAAAAAAAAGAAATACAAAAGGGCTGAGGGGGCTGGGGATGTAGCTCAGTGGCATAGCACCTGCCTGGCAAGTCTGAGGCCCTGAGTTCAATTCCCAAAGAAGGGGTGGGGTGGGGATAAACCTGAGTGCTAGAGACCTGGGTTCAATCCTCAGTAACACACACACACACACACACACACACACACGCGCGCGCGCACACAACTGTAGACTAGGACTCAGAGACTGAGAACCAGGCCTGTGGAAGGTGGAAGCGTGCATTCCTGGGAAGGGGAGCAGTAGTGAGGAGTCTGTTCTAGAAGTCCTCAAAGGTACATGGAGAGAAGGACGAAGACTCACATCTTGGTGTTTGTAAGAATAGAAAATGCAAACAACCCTAATAGCCACCATCAGGGTACCTGACCGCAAATAAAAGGCCCATGATGGGGTGAGTCAGGCAGAAGGTGCTGGCTGACCCCGGGCCGAGGGGCAGGTGGGGGGCTGGGGGCACCCTGAGAGAATGCTGCTGCTGGCCCTGCACGCTGGACACCTCCCACCACCAGTGGGAACCCTAAGGTGTCCCTGCTTCTTTGTGGCACCTGTCCCAGGCACAGAGCCTTGAGGAAGTGTATGACAGGCTGAGCTCAGGCACGTGGTGTCCGCTCTGTCCCCGCCTGGTCAGAGGCCAGGCGTCTGGAGGCTGAGAAGCCACCGAGGCTCCCCCAGCAGGAAGCAGGTCAGGGACGGGGGCCGCACGCCAGGACTCCTCCACCCCACCTGCCTTGCAAGCACAGGACTCCCACCTGGCCCAAGGCAACCTCACCCTCTCCTAGAGGGACCCTGCCCCAGTTCCAGTCCCAGTCCTGCCTCAGGTCCATCCTCTGGCACTGCCTGCTGTCCCTGAAGGTGGATGGTGGGTGGGCCTGGGACAGATCATTTGGAGGATGGCCAGCCACCTCCTGACATGGAAGGGTCAGCCTCAAGCTCCTGCTGTCAGGGGCCAGCTGCCTCCCAGCCTTGGACGTGCCATGTGACAGCTCACACTGGATCCCATCCAGCTCGGCGACAAGGCCCAGGTGAGCAGTACCGTCTTTCTCCTCCCTGCAGAGACAGACAGGCAGCAGGACACTACAGAGCAGCCCACCTGGCCCCTCAGGGCGGAACCCAGGCTGCCAGGACACGCTGCCCTGAATCCCCCTCAAGATGCTTCCCCTCGACTTTGAACACACTCATCCCATCATAGTTGCCACCTTCTGAAGCAGTTCTGGAAGTCCTCTTTCATGAGTGTCTTCAGTTGTCCTGAATGGCTTGAAGACATTTTCCTCTCATGGTCACTTTGACTTTGGGAAAGAGCCAGAAGTCACTCGGTGCCGGGTCCAGTGAATAGGGTGGATGAGGACATGCCAGGGTGTTTTCACGAACCTGCCCTTTTATTCTATGGCACTCAGAAGCAGCATTCACCTTACTTTTGATCACACCTTGTAAAGACACTCACAAAAGAGGACTTGCAGACCTGCTTCAGAAAGTAGCAAGGATGATGGGATAGTGAAGGGGCAGATTCTGAGGGGGATGAATGGAAATGTTCTGCTGTAATAATTTTTTTAATTTAAACACTCATTTTTTGATCATCCCTTATAGATGCCCTGGCCCGTGTGGCTCTTCCAGGCATCTGTCTTTGTGCTCCTCCCAAAGCTCGTCGCTCTGGCCACCTCCCTCCTTGGGACCCCAGGCTGTCTGACCGCAGCACAATCCGCTTTCCCAGGCGGGCCGTGTCAGGGCCCTCTTCCTCCTCCGCTGGGAAAGTGACACGTGCCACTCTGCATTCTGCCACAGGGGGGCGCTCACCTGCGTCAGCCTGCAGCAGGCCCCGAATCCGGTCCCTGGTGTTGGCACACACTGTGGTGGCTGTGAAGCAGACACGGGTCACTGGGCCTCCAGGGACCTCAGGGCCACACAGCAGGGGGCAGATCTGGTCCACGGGGTCTGCCACGGACCCACGGGGAGGTGGCGGGGCCAGGCGTGGCTCGGGAGGAGAGAGGGCCCCTGCTCGGAGGCGTCCTGGCTCCCATCCCTGACACGTGGGCCTCCCCCAGGGCCGCACAGCCCCCAGTGCGCCTCGCAGCTCCAGCTCTCTACTGGTCAGGGGACCCTAAAGCCCCTGGGCACCGTGTTCCGCTCCCAAGGAGCCAACTCGGTCTCTGCCACCAGCCTCTGGATCTCCAGAGGAGCTGGAGCCACACCCCAAGTGTCACACGTGTCACCCCAAAAGCCCACCGGGGCCTAATGGAGGCTGCGCCCTTTCCTAAGGATCAGGGACAAACCGTCGTTGCTTTGGGACACACTCCAGGGACACACGCCTGTCATTGCTCTGGCCCGGTGAACACAGTGTGGGCACAAACAAGAGCCGTGGGGCCTGCAACAGGATAGGTGCACCCTCATGGAGGCGCCAGGGAGAGGGGCAGACACAGGGAAAGAGAGAAGGCAAGAGAGAGGGACAGAGGGACAGGGGCAGGAAACAAAGCTAGGTGAGTCCCAGCCTTGCGCCCAGCGCGGCGCCCCCTGCTGGAGTCTCCACCTGGGTCGTTCAGGGTAATCTACCCGGTACTCCTGGGGTGTCCCTCAGCAGGACAGCGCCTGCCCAGCAGGCTCGAGGCCCTGGGTTCCCTCTTCAGCACTGAGGGAAAAAAGACAGCCATGAAGCCCGTCAGGAAGCGCGCCCGGCTGGGAAATGGAGTGGCCTTCTGGGAAGGCTGGCGAGGGCCCCAGGCTGCGCACTCGTGTCCGCCGCAGGGCCTCTGGGTGGCCCAGGAGGCGTCCTGACTACGAAGGCGCCAGTCACCTCTGCTCGCCAGATTCGAGTTGTTCAATGATGGGGATCACCAAAGACTCTTCCAAGCTGCCCGTCGGTTTCGGTCCTGTACTCAGTGTGGTGAGGCGGGTGCTCCTCCCCACTGCAGCCGAAGTCCTGGGGTTGGATGTGGAAGAAACCCAGTGCACTCTCTCTCCGCACGTCCCCTGCCCGGGCCCTGGAGGAGGCAGCTCAGGTCTGTCCCCAGCGGGACTCGGGAATCACTGCCCACCGTACGCATGGCAGGGCCCTGGGCTTCCTGACATGCCTTTCTCTGCATCATCCCGAGATTTCACGGCCAGTCGGTCTGGTTTTTTGTCAAGCAATTGAGGAGATAATGAGCACCACTCCCAGCTGCTCAAGCTGGTGCACAGAGCCAGAATCACTGATGGATGCACCTGTACCCGATATTTTTAGTTGTAGCTTCATATAATGAAAACCCAAAATAGCAGAGGCTTATGTGACATTTTTATTTTCTCTCAAATGAGAGAGAGAAGGCAGTCTCCCTGGAATTTGATGTCTTCTCTTTTCATACCACCACCTTAGCATGTGACTGACAGCCTCAGGGTTACCTTGTGGTTCATAAAGCCTGTTGGGATCCCAGCCATCACTTCTGCCTTTTGGGCAGCCGGGTGGGGGTAGCAAAAGAGGAAAAGGCACTTTCCCCAGCTATCCATCCCCTGAAACTGAGCCCCTCATTAAGTTTTGTACCTAAGACACCTCGCTGGCCTCCTCCTATTCCAGCCCTGTGCTGGATCAAACTGTATCTAGTTTTCAGCTTCCTCAGCCCTCAGCTTCATGTGATAAGAGATCCATTACACGGTCACAGCAAGTCCCTGTGTTTCAGTGCAAGCCTTGGGCTGAGAATGAGGGATGTGAGCTTGTGACCTCCTCCTTTATCCTCTCCAGTCCCCCTGGAAGCCACTGCCTGGTCCTCCAGGGCTTAAGCACCTTCAGGTCCACACAGATGCATGCGCAGTGCCTTGGTCCGCATCACGGCCCCCCAAGGGCACATTGTTCCCAGAGACCACGGTGACAGCTGAGCCAGCATCTGCCACCCTGTACAATGACATTCCTCGGGCGCAGTGGAATTTTTAGAACAGTTTTGTTGGTGTGTAACACACAGCAAAATACACAGGTCCAAAATGTGAAGCTCAATTAATCCCTACCCACTTAAGCTCTTCTCTGTGGAGTGGGGAGGCATCTCCCTCACCGGGAGGCCTCCTCCCTCAGGTCAGCCCCTCTCCCTGTAGCTGGTATACATAAGATTGCAACTATGTCCTGTAAACAAAGTTCAGGATGCCTACCCTCCCAAGATCCACAGGGAGCAAAACTGTCCTTGTGTGAGACGTGACTAACTTACATTTTGTTTGTTCCTGTAATCTTGCTCGCCCACCCCACTCCCCAACTTCACATCACTAGAAAAACCTTCCCCCTTTTTGACCAAATCTATAAAACTGAAACTTTTCCATTGTTCATCACTCTTCTTTTGGACAGGAGCCCATCGAGCCGGTGTTCACCTAAATCCTGAAAAAAATCTTCCTGATTCCCAATGGTCTCTCCTGTTTTAAAATTCTGCAACACCACCACTGTTCTGATCTCTTTGAATGCTGTCATTTCTGCTCTTGGACGTCACACAAGGAGTCGCTCCATCCACACAGCTTGGCATCAGCCCTTTCTGTTGCA